AAATTTTGATAACTCGTAGCAGACGATTAGGTGACAGAACGCCAATTGACTCCTTAGAAAGGTGAGACTTTTAACTCTAGTTTGATAATAAAGCGATTTAATTATCTTAAGCGGTTCTCGAGTTATTCACTAAAAACTGAAGACATAGGAAATCGGCGTTTCTGGGTGAGTTAATAAATATTACGTAATTTTTGCATTACGTAAGGGAGGCACCACCCTTACGCAATGCAAAATTGTATTTTTGATAAATTAATTAATATGAGTGGCAATCTTAATAATTAACAAACAAATCAAATGTATTGCAACAAATAAAAAAATATTTCATATTCATATTAAAATCTTAAGTTACCATTTCTAAAGAATGATTCTTTCGCTTTCATTTGATACTAAGTACATTAATATTGGTCAATTAATAAGAAAGTTATTAAGCTTTAATGCAGCGGTTTCCAAACTTTATGCTACTACGCCTCCGCGAAAAAAAAAATTCCGCGCCTCCCTTACCTTTTATTGTTTTAATAGATTAAATAATATAGACACGTTTTATTTATTTGAAGATATTATAGTATAAAAATTAATTTATTAGAAATTTTTGGCGCCTCCCCTATTGGTTCACAAAATTTATTTATCATTTGAAATGATACATCTGAAGCTATGGTATATTGAAAAAATCACTCTGCATCACCCATAAATGTATTCTTGTCTCCTTAGTGATCCTTAGAGATAACATAACATTTCTAAGTGTCAGGTGCAGGTGCAAAAATGTAAATTGTATATTCCAGAAAGAGACCAAAATATTGTTATATAGTTCCTTTATTTACTCTCATTTTATTATCTATACATTCAACATCAAAATCAATGTTCAACATTCATCTGCGAGCTGGTGGTTGAGAAAATACAGGCCTCTATTCTTCCATCCGTCATTTGCAAAAGTTTGTTAATTAATTGTGAAGAAACTATTGTAACTACTAATATATAGTTAAGCTTATTTTTAACTCTCTATATTGAAGATCAACATCCATGTCCAACATTTTTCTAAGAACTGGTAGTTGATAAAATATAGGCCATTTTCGAAGACACTATTTTACCATCTGTCAAATGCTAAAGTTTGTTAATTAATTATAAAGAAGCCATTGCAGCTACAAACTTATATTTACACGTATATTTATCTGTATACATTCAAGATCAACATCCATATCCAACATTCTTTTGGGAGTGAGTGATTGATAAAATACAAGGCATTTTTGAAGACATTGTTTTACCATCTGTCAAATGCTAAAGTTTGTTAATTAATTATAAAGAAGCCATTGCAGCTACAAACCTATATTTACACGTATATTTATCTGTATACATTCAAGATCAACATCCATATCCAACATTCTTTTGGGAGTGAGTGATTGATAAAATACAAGGCATTTTTGAAGACATTATTTTACCATCTGTCAAATGCTAAAGTTTGATAATTAATTATAAAGAAGGTATTGCATCCACAGACCTATATTTACATTTATATTTATCTGTATACATTCAAGATTAATATCCATATCCAACATTCTTTTGGGAGTAGGTGATTGATAAAATACAGGCCATTTTCGAAGACACTATTTTCCTCTTTGTCAAATGCTAAAGTTTGTTAATTAATTATACAGAAGCCATTGCAGCTACAAACCTATATTTATACTTATATTTATCTCTATACATTCAAGAGCAATATCCATATCCAACATTCTTCTGGGAGTGGGTGATTGATAAAATACAGGCCATTTTCGAATACACTATTTTCCTATCTGTCAAATGCTAAAGTTTGATTATTAAAAAAGCCATTGCATCTACAAACCTATATTTACATTTATATTTATCTATATACATTCAAGATCAATATCCATATCCAACATTCTTTTGGGAGTTGGTGATTGAGAAAATACAGGCCATTTCCAAGGAGTCACAAGTATGCGTAGTTACCCCCTAGCGTCTGCAACCAAACATACACACGCATTGTATATTTTTGGTTGCCTATAATAGAGAAATTTTGAAAAACGAGAAATTTGACTACAGTATTCGTGCACAATTTCGGTAATTTTCAACACGTTACAAAATTTAAATATTGTGGCTAGAATGTTGTCAGTGGGCTCATTGAAAAGGTGTGGGTGTCTAGTTTACGATTCTTGCTGAATTTTACAATTATCCTGGACGGTTATCCTGAAGTTAAATAAAACGTGAAGTCGAAATGCATTTTAAACTACGACACATTTGATAGCACGTAGCAAACGAACAGATGACAGAAGAAAGCTGATAGTGCTCACTGGAGAAATAAGACATTCAGCTTTAATTCGAGTATAAGATGATATAATTAGCTGGCGGAGTTCTCGAGCACTTCGTGAATAACGGAAGACATCGAATATCATTTTTTGATTACTTAATGAACATTATAGAACTGCATCAGATACACAGAATTTGAATATAATATCTAACGATCATGCAAAAGACAAAAATATAGCTGTATGCGCAGCTGGCTTCTCATACAAGATGATACACTTTTCTGTGCCTTCGTGAAATGTAAAACTATCTCTAACGACCATAACAAACAAACCGCAAACAGCAGAAAGCCAATGGGTTCACCGAAAAGGTGAAACTTTCAGCTTTAATTTGAGTATAAGATCATGAAAAACACAGTAACGTTTTAGGCCTCTTAACATTTAATTATTGACGTAGTATTTTTGAAGAGATTCGAAAATATTTAAAATAATTGAAAAAATCTACAATCTAAACATTTTACATTATTTTCCATGCATTCCACATATTACTTTATATCACGTCGAAAATCTATGGACGGAAAACAAAAAAATATATGAAATTATCGTGGTTTTATTGATTTATTGATTACATTTTGAATGATTTATTACTGCATTCAATCGACCCAAACCGCAGCATCGGAGGGGCATCCATTATATCCGTCTGTCTCTTTCTTTTCCATTCACATGCTCGTCAAAGCCCTTTCGCTCGAGCACATTAAATGTCGATTCATTTCATGTTTATTGTACTCTCCACTCCGACCCACGCATTCTCTATTTTTTTCTTTCGTTTCACTCCATTTTTTTTATTGTTGTTTTCAGGACACATTATCAAGCGACGATAAGATTACAGAGTAGAAAAAGACGAATTGTTTTCGCGTTTCCATTGTTTCTCTTTATTTGCTTTTAATTATTTTCATTTTATTTTTATAATTTTATAAATTTTCTACTGAGATTATTATTACAGAAATTCAATTTTACTATTAGCAAATAAATGTGAATTAAGTAAATATGCTTTTATTTCAAGTTTATAAGTATTTAGTAGTACATTTATGATTTCGTAATTATTCAAAGCAATCACATTACCATAGTGAATAATTACTGGTGAAGTTATATAATTTTCAACAACGAGCGACATCTGTTGCAAGAATTGTGCACCTCATTAATTTGATCTCAATAATTAAAACAAACAAATTATTAATTTCTATTACTATAAAACAATTGTTTAAACAATTACTTACAAGTATATTATTTGTAAAAATTGATTCAATCTTCAATAGAAAAAAACTACTAGATTTGATTTTAATATTAAGATACATTTTGTCATCTTGCTGCAAATTAAAAACAATTGAATAACAAATTAAATAACTTTTTAAAACAATTTAAATTAAAAATATTATCTATGTAAACCTACAGGTGGCGTTCTTCGAGAATTTTTAATCATTGATAACTACATGAAAAGTTACCAGATTGATTAATATATTTAACTAATCGTTAGATAATATTTAAATACATGTATTTTTATAAAATAATTTGTTTTTAAAGTCCTAATTTCTTAGGGATCCTTCTTCTTCTTCCTTCCACCACCTTTCTCAATTTGCAGTAGAGACTAAATGTAACATATAACATAGAAAAGTGATATAAACAATTTCCAAACCAGGACTCTGCAGTTCTGTACACTTGGACTAGGTTGAGTTTCTGAAATGATGATGCTGTGCTTGTAGATAGGACCGCAACCAGACAGACAGAGTAGGAGAGAAGTCATGCAACCAATTATACAGAGTAAATGCTAGATCAAAATGTTGGACCTTCTTGAAAATTCCAAGAGGGCCAAATACACATCTCCATTCCCTGATGCCATCAAAAGAGGGATAGAGGTAGGCAGTGGGACTTTGAAAGCTACGAAATCTACTGAATTGTTGGGACACTCGAAGAAGCAATGGTTCATCTTAGGGATCCGAAAGATCGATATTGAGTAACAGACATTTTGGTTTAAGACTTTGCTAGCATTGGCCATCTGTATGTTATATAACCAAAGCGCTCTTCTAATTTGAAATTAATTATTAGAGCCTTAATTGCCAATCAAATAAATTAAATTTATACAGTAATTAATTATCTTTTGATTTATTGTTTTGATTTGTAATTTGTTAAACTATGAGGGTAATTATTGATGATTAAAAATTGTCACAAAGCGACATCTTTCTGGCATAATCAAAATTTCAATTTTAAATTATTTTTTTAAATTATTGTTATATAATTCAAAGTCCAATTGATAATCAGTATTTCACAACTATTGGAAATAAATAATAAAAAATGTGTCGTTCTTATTTTATGAATTCGTTAATTTATTTATTTATAACCATACAATTATTAATTTAAAATCAAGTAAATTGTTTTAAGTTCATTAACCAAAACAAAAAGACAATTAATAATAAACATCTATTGTTATATTCTTACAAAGAATTGAAATATTTGAATTGGAAATTTAATTTATTTATGAATGAAATTTGTAGTTTGATAATACAATGTGTATATATGTGATTGTACATTTATAGATATGCTATAAATACACCATTATTATCATTATTATATCATTATCACAAGTATTATCATAATATTGTTATGAAATATATCAATTTTTAAATTAAGCGCTCAATTTTACATGGATAAAACGATTTAAACCGAATGTAAACGATTGTTTTGTGACAAGGCAGCAACTGGCAACAACATCAGAAACATCAGCTGTTGTTATTGAATCATTCGCCTTGAAGCCGCATTTTGTTAATTCTTGGAAAGAATTTCTCATAAAGGAAGCTACAAAGCATTGTGAAAATGAAGAGTCTGCTCTTCGTCGGTCTGGCACTTTTCTGTGGTAAGAACAAACTCACATTTTAACAATTCTTCAATTACATTTTATAACTATGATTTAGCGTATTTTCTAAACTTTCAAATGACATTGGACCTCCTAATTGCGTTTCATACATTGATTACATTCTATACTTATCGCTGTTTATTTCAAACGGTTTAACGATTATCGTTCTCGTTTCAATGTAAATATTTGTGACAAAAACATTAAAAATAATAATTAAGAAATGACTCAATTGATTTGTTGATTGCAGCAATGATTCACTGCAATCAATTGTTCCTTTATGTACTTGCATCTAACACAAAGGATTTCATTATGCTGGATTTAAATAGAAAAAAAATCTGTTTACATTTCTAATTTCCTATTTGTTAATTATGAAACTGAGATTAAGCATTTGTATGTTATTTTTCACAGCCAATTATGCAAGTGGTGCCCATCTTTTGGGTTCCAAGGAATGCACTTGGGGTCCTTCTTATTGGTGCTCCAATCTGACGTAAGTGTGATTTATCTCTTGACCTTCATGAACTTCGATAATATTATGAGAATATCTGTGTAACCCAAATAAACAATGCTTTCAGGGCTGCAGCAGGATGCAGGGCTGTAAAGCATTGCATTCAGACTGTTTGGGTACACAAGGAGTACCCTGAGGACAAAGACAGTGTCTGTGACATATGCTTGAACATGGTTAAGGAAGCTAGGGATCAGTTGGAGAGCAATGAAACTATGGAGGAAATTAAGGAAGTCTTTGAGGGCTCCTGCAAATTGATTCCCATCAAGATGGTGTCGAAGGAATGCTGCAAGATCGCTGACGATTTTATTCCGGAACTCGTCGATACTCTCGCATCGCAAATGAATCCTCAGATTGTTTGCTCGGTCGCTGGATTGTGTAACAATGCTAAAATTGATAAACTTTTGGAGGAATACAACAAGCCAAAGAATACATGCCAGGGCTGCCATACAGTTGTTGATCTTATGGAACATAAATTTAAGGGAATGTCTAAGGATATTTTCTTGAAAAATTTACTCCAGGTGATTTATTAATTTCAATCACTGATGATTGATTTTATTTATTGATTGGTTTATAGGTTTGTGGTCGCATGGGAAGCCTTTCTGACGCTTGCAGTAATATCGTTGTAACTTACTTCGATGAAATTTACTCGCAAGTTAAGAACAACTTTAATGCTAACAATGTATGCTTGATGTCTGGAGAATGTAGTGCCAATTTCCACAAGCACGAAATCGATGTAATCACAAGGTCCGAAATCGGCGTCGTTAAAGTCAAGTAAACTATAAATTAACTCCCTTAAGCTTTGAAGCATATTTAATCTTGTAATTCCAGAGATGATGATTTGCCCTGCGAATTGTGCAAGCAACTGGTAGGACATCTGAGGGAATTGCTGATCGCCAATACCACCGAATCCGAGTTCAAGACCGTATTGGAAGGTCTTTGCAAGCAAACCAACAAATTCAAAGAAGAATGCCTCTCCATTGTCGAGGAATACTACACGGTTATCTACGATTTCTTCGTCTCCCAATTGAACTCTTCAGAAATCTGTGAAATGGCTGGAATATGTCGGACCGGAAATAACTTTGCTTTTGCTATTATACCTGTTTTACCAGCGGAATCCGCCAAGAAGGCAGTTCAACTGTCGAAACCTGGAACATTGCAGTCACCTGATCTTATGCAACTGCCGATTGAGCGTATGCATAAACCAGCGGTTTACAACAAGCAACTCTGCACTTTCTGCGAGTATTTCTTGCACTATGTTCAACAAGCCATTACCGACCCTAAGACCGAGAACGAAGTAAAGGATATCGTCAACAAGATGTGCGTTAAAATGCCGAGCACTTTGCAAAGTGTCTGCGAGCAATTCGTCAATGATTATGGAGAAGCCGTTGTAGCTATCCTAGCCCAAGAGATCGATCCTTCTGTGATGTGTCCCTTGATGCAATTGTGCCCATCGTCGGAAAGCAACACTCAGATTGAAATCTTCATGCAACAGAACTCCAAGGATGAACCTAACTGTCCACTCTGTATTTTCGCCGTAAGCAAACTGGAGGAGATGGTGAAGGGACAGAAGAGCAAATACAATATTAAGAGCGCTTTGAAGAATTTGTGCACTCATCTACCAAGCAATTTGGCCATGGAATGCCATGATTTCGTAGATAGTTACACCGATGAACTTGTGGAGATGCTTATGGACGATTTCAAACCTCAAGAGGTTTGCGTCTACTTGAAGGTTTGCGTGGACAAGATTCCTGCTCCGAAGATGAACGAATTACCACAAATTGAAGACATGAGCGAACCAATCAGTAAGTTTATTAACGAGACTTTTACAATTATTTTATAAATACTTCTAGCAAAATTTTACATCTTTATAATAAAAAAATATATGTTTTAGCCATGTTTAATCTGAAGTTTTGCTGTTTTAGGTTCGAACGAAATACATGATAACACCGCGAACGGCGTAGTAGTCGTACCGGAAGCGGAAAATTCGAAGCCTCAATGCATCTTGTGCGAATTCGTCATGGAAAAATTGCAAGTCGCTTTGAAGGATAAAGACACCGAAGAGGAAATCAAGAATGCCATCCACGGCATTTGCAATGATCTTCCAAAATCGATCAAAAGCGAATGTAACAACTTTGTGGATAAATATGCGACCATCGTTTTCGATATGATCTTGGCGAGCGTGAAACCTGAACAGATCTGCGCCGCAATGAACATGTGCATTACTAAACCCGAAGAAGTACCGGTCAAGTCACCACAGTGCGCCCTTTGCAAGGTTGTTATAAGGAAATTGGAAACCTTGATCAATGGTAACCTGACTGAGGAAACCATCAAGGAATCTTTTGAGAAGGTTTGCAATTTGTTACCCTCTAGCAAGAAAACCGAATGCGTGAAGTTTATTGAGAATAACGAGCGTTATATCTATAACTTTTTGATCACCGCCGTCGCCCCCGACGAGATCTGCTCGTTGTTGATGGTCTGCGAGGAAAGAAAGCAAGTTGTCAAGATGCGGGTGAACAAATGCGCCGTGTGCGAAGCTGCTGTTATGGCCATCGACAAAATCTTGCAGAATCCCAAGGTAGATCATTCCATCGAGCACGTGCTGGAGAAGGGTTGCAGGGCTCTGCCTCACAGGAACCAGCAGAAATGCCGCGATCTGATCGAAACGTACGGACAATCCATCTTCAATTTGGTCCATACCATGACCGATAGTCATGCCGTTTGCAAGGAAATCGGAGTTTGTCGCGATCCTCCAGCAAGACCACTTTTGGGAGCCAATAAATGCATACGTGGACCTGACGTTATCTGCGCCAGCGTTACCAGAGCTAGAGAATGTGGAGTAAGTTGAATATAGTAAAATCATAGCTAAATGGATTTGCATTTATTAACTTATTTTTGTTTCAGGCCTACGACATGTGCTTGAAGAACGTTTGGTCGGGAAGTAAACCTCTATAAGCAACATCTCAGAGTTCATACTCCCATCAATTTTAACATACTTTTATTTAGTTGTCGAATTTAGTTTTATTTCAAATCTTTTTTTAATTTTATTTTTTCTAGAGCTTCACTTTTAATTTTTATTTTGCATTTCACTGTTTAAGTGAAATCAAGTGATTTAACTCGTATAGTAGAGATAGAAAACACCATTAGCGGGAAGGGGAACTGTGATAAGGGTGTCGTTTTCTATAGTTTTTTTTGTCGTTAATTGAATAATATCCCCCTTTCTTGATACTTTTCGCAAAATCTGTCACTATATAAATTTAAGTAAGGAAAATATTATAAATGTAGTTATTATACTAAAACAAAAATAAAATATATATGCAGTATATTAATGCAAAGAGCTTGTTTCTATTTTTTCTTTGTCAACTTACTCTTGAAATTCCTTTATGTGGGCGTGATGGCTATGCTGTATGGCAATCTGGGCTGGAATGGGTTGTTCATCAGAAGCCAATCCGCGAGGAAGAGGACGGGATCGATGGGTTTGTTCTTGACAACCTCGGTGAGGCCATTGATCAAAGTGGGATTCACGTATATATCGCAATAATCCGTCACCTTCTGCAGTTCAGCAGGCAGAGGCTCCAAAATGCCTAAAGAAATAATAATGCGTATCAATGAGCACACCACCTTTTTCATGCTGTTTGTGGAGCAGTCGTAACCAAGAGAGCGTAGAATTAGTGGAATTGCGTAGTCGAGAGGTACGACGTGTGTGTGCTGTGTGAAATGAGATTTTTGATGGGTTTCTTCAAGAATGTGATATTTATTGGCACGCGAATGAGCAACTATGAGTCAACAAAGGTAAGTGTAGGTAGTTTACCAAGAGCTTACTATCAGGATAGAAATATCGGTTTTCCCTATTGGCATCCTTCAATGTTTCCGAGCCGTGAAGCATGTTCGCTTTTGTCTTCTGCAGGCCGTACCTGGACCTCATGCTGATGGGATAGAACCAATCCTCTCTTAAAGATCCATCCGTTCCAATGACCTGTCTCCATTTAGGTATGACGTTGTTCGCGGATAAAGATAGGGCGAGGACTGGAGCGACGCTCATCGAGACCACGAGATGTGGAAAAGAAGGACTTCCGTAGAACTTTGCGTATATTTCGGAGACTTGCTCGGGCGTCAGGTGTAGGTAACGAAACTGCAAAGATAGGATTCCAAGTATGCGCGCTTTCACTTCTTGTTGTTTTTTTATCACCCGAATGAAATAATGTTAATTAAGTCCGTAATTTAAATTGCTATCTAAATATTGTAAATGCAAAAACGCACACATAATCTGCATAATAGTTATTATTCATTCATCTTCGTAGATCTCTCTTTAATAGAATAATATCGTGTTCATTATTGAATACAATACGCAAATATTCCAATTAGATATATATAAAAAAAAAACTAATTATTCAATGAAACAATCTTGCGTATAGTTTTCAAAGATAGCTTTTTATGATAATAAATGTACAGAGAAATGCATGAAACCCATAAAATATATAAGAGTTTTTAATATTCTATTGATAGATGTAAATAATATAAGGATATTATTAGGATTAATACTTAAATAAATTCAAAAATCTAATTATGGACAATTCAAATATAGTTCAATACAGTACTTCATTTTTGAATGGAGCGAATGGAGTAATGCGCTACATTCATCAAACATCTTTTGGATTAATTCTATCTATTATAGTTTTTGAGAAAATCACCAGAATGTGAAAACACTGCTTCTTCAACTTTGAACGCAAATTACAGTCATACCTATAAAACCACAGTAATATATTTATACATGCAACATTCACCAAACATTCAGCTTTCATATGCATCTTTTGGATTCATTTTATCTATTATAGTTTTCGAGAAAATCAATGAAATGTGAAAATACTGCTTTTTCGAGCATGTTTTCAACTTTGAACGCGAATTACAGCCATACACAGTAATATATCTATACATTCCACATTCAGCTTTCATATGCATCTTTTGGATTCATACTATGTAAAAATCAATGAAATGTGAAAACACTGCTTTTTCGAGCATTTTTTCAAATTTGAAAGCAAATTACAGCCAAACGGACAAAACCACAGTAATATATCAATACTTGTTACATTCCC